GGTGTTGCCCCCGCGCCTCGCTCAGCCAGTGAGCGGGAATCGGTCTGTATGTGGGATCCGAACCCTCGGCGGGAGCGCCGCCGCGCTTCCCAAACGGCGCACTAGCGCAGTGCGCCACCGGGCCGGCCCTTAATTAAAAGTTTTAAAAATTATTTTTCTCTTAAGATGTTTCATTAGAATTCTGTTAATTTAGCAGAAACAATCTTATCTCTGTCCCAATCCCTATATATTTTCAGTTTGAATCTGAAAAAAAAAATTACCTTTATTCCATTAATTTTTATTTTATTTTATGTATTTTAGATGTACAACGTGATGTTTTGATATACGTATACATAGTGAAATAGCTACTCCCATCAAGCAAATTAATATATCCATCATCTAACATAGTTCCCCTTTTTCTGTGTGGTAAGAGCGCCTAAAATATATTCTCAGCCAAGTTTTAGTACACAATACTATATAATATTATTAACGACACCCCTCATGCTGTACATTAGATCTTTAGACTTATTCATCATACGTAATTGAAAATCTGTTCCTTTGACCTACACAACTCCTCATTTTCTCCTCAACACCCACCCACCCCACCCCTGACCCTGGTAACCACATTTCTATTCTTTGCTTCTATGCATTTAGCCTTTTTTTTCCCCTAAGATTCCACATACAAGTGAGATTATGCAGTATTTTTCTGTGTCTGGCTTCTTTCACATATGAAAATTAACTTTCTATATGTCTTCTAAATATGGTACAGAAATAAAGTGCTAGTCAAGGGTATGTCCAAGTTTTATATAATTATTTTCCAGCTCACCCACATGTCAACATTTACTTTTTGTCTTAGGAAAAAACCAAAATTTTTGAATGCAAACAACAACAACAAAAAAAAAGGGTTACCAAGTAAGTGGTAAATAACTTTTTTGGGGGGACAAGAACCTGGGAAGTCTCAGATTTTTGGAGTAATGATTGGTAAGGATTCCTAGTGCTTTTACCTTGATTTAATTTCAGTTATAGGCGAGTCTCTGGTATTACCTATTCTAATATAAATTATGAAAGGTGAAGAAAGAGAATGCATTAAATATCTCCAGGAGCATCATTACAATAAGATACTCGGTGTAATGGCTGAGAAATTTTACTGAATAGATACACAAACTGTCCCCATCTCCCAAAATCAAAGACAAATATTAAATGTCCATAAAGTGGCTAATTCTGCTTGTATGTACTGGTAAATCTGATTTAAATGAAAAGAATGTTAGCCCTAAAGATTTCTTTGAAAGAGAAAACATAAGATTACCAACCTCTTAGAAAAATTTTAGCATCAATAGAAAAGCTCAGGAACCATAGGTGAAATTAAAAAGGGATGCTGCATGAAGTCTCAGTGGGTAAGACTACGCAATCTGAAATCACTTGAAAAAAAGGTGAGACAGAAAGAAATCTGTGATAAGCTTTTTTTTCTGATAGTTATTAAGTGCTGCATGAAATATGTTGGAAGGATGAAAGAAAATTAACTGCAGAATATATATGTGATGCTGAGTGAAAGAATAAGGGAACATTTCTGATAAATATTTTCAAAATTTGTAGAATCATCTCTGTCTTAATCATCCATTTAAGGGACTAGAAGACAAGTGAGATGTGCCTCACCACATGACAGGTCCAGAATAGGAGAACACTTGACACCTTGACAATAGTGAAAAGCAGGGTTTGCTCATTCTCGAATAATGAGATCTGGTCCTAACCTCAAGTAATACCATATATCTTTTGTTAAAACTCTCTCTCTCTCTCTCTCTCTCTCTCTCTCTCTCTCTCTCTCTCTCTCTCTCTCTCTCTCTCTCTGTCTCCCTCTCTCTCTCTCTCTTTTCATTGAATGCTACCTCTTGGGTTTTCTTCTGTTGTGCCAGTCATTTAATTATTTTTTCTTCTGACCCAAACAATAAAAATAAATTATCTTTTTCTGTGTGTCCAATATTCCCAGATACATCTCACAGCTTGGTGTGTCATATGCCCAAGCTTAAACCTTAGGATGGGACCAGAAATGATGAAGAAAACATCAAGTCATCTCCTTAAAATCAGATCCCCTTATTCTGGATTTTTTTTTTTTTCCTTGTCCAGCTTTCCTGCCAGACGGGTCATGGCAAAAAACTGAACTTTCTTACACACACAAATAAAATTTGTTGTTGAAAATATCAATATTCCCCTTGACCATGTCCAATATTTGGACAAAAAATGTGAGAAGTGCACACCCTCCAACTCGTTTAAAGTTGGGGGTCTTTGTTAGATCAGATTAGCACGTGCCCTAACTAGAGCCATAAGAGCTTTCTACTTGCTCTGATTATCTGTTAGAAATGAACTCTCAGTTTCATAGGATTAAGCTCTTTACAGATGATACAATTTCTTCACATTTTAATAACTATCAGTTATTGGTTCTCTCTCTCTCAGGGACATAGGTATCACATTCTATTATAAAATTTTATATTCTGCATCACCTGGATTATTCTTTCAAATGTAAATTTGTTTTGTTTCTTCTATTGCATAAGATAGTTTATGCCATTTTATGTTTAGTAAGTAATTACACATGTATGTCAATTTAAATCCTGATAGTCTCCATTGCTCTACATTCAATTTTCTATTCTCCTATCACTTTATATAGGATCTTCATCTTCCACTAGTTTGTACTAAGCATCCCGAAAAGTCAAAATACTGTAGCATAAAATTATGCTCCAATTATATCAGACCATAACATAAAGGAATTTTCTTAGGCTGTGAATTTGGAAATCAACCTGTTTCTTATATTTTCATGACATTATGCGTTAATATTTTCAGTCCTATTATGTTACTTACATTTTTGAAAACTTTCTTAATGCTAGAATCAAATTTGTTTATATTAACTCTTTCATTCATTTATTTATCCACTAATTTACCTCGTATTTATTGTATACTATGTTCTATATACTGCATTGGATAATAGGAATATAGTAGCAAATAAGACAAATACTTTTCCCCCTTGGAATTTTCAATCTAGTAGTAATATGTAGCAATAAGGGTTTGTTATGAGTTTGTTGACTATTATGATGAGATATGATATTATGTTTAGAGGGTGTGTAATAAGAGAACTACCCTGATCTGTGGAGTCAGAGGATTTTCCTGAAAAAAACTGTTGTTTGAGCTGAAATATGATGAATAACTAGGATTTAGAGAAATGGTGAGTTTGTCAGATACTTGGATCCCCTTAACTAGGTCAATCTTGAAGAGAAAATAAAAACTCTCTTTTTGTTTAATAAGTTGAGATATGCACCACTTCATTCTTGTACCTCAACAAGGTTAAAATATGCTAGTAAAACACATTGTTTCAACATGGATGAAAAAAACACACACACAAAAAGCCACATATAGTACAATTTTATTTACATGAATTCATAAAGATCAAAAGTAGATGAAGGATTTCCAGGGGATGTGGGAGGGTGAATGGAGACTAACTGTTAATGGGTGTTCGGTTTCTTGTCGGAATGATGAAAATGTCTTGGATTTTAGGGCCGGCCCGGTGGCGCACTGGATAGGTGCGCCGCTTGGGAAGCGCGGCAGCGCTCCCTCCCGAGGGTTCGGATCCCACATGCAGACCGGTTCCCACTCACTGGCTGAGCGAGGCGCGGGAGTGACACCGAGGGTTGCGATCCTGTTGCCGGTCCCCGGTCCGGTACGGGGGCAACACTGAGGGTTGCGATCCGTTGCCGGACATGGAAAAAGACAAAAAGACAAAAAAAAAAAAAAAAGTCTTGGATTTTAATAATTATGATGGTTGCACAACTCTGGATATACTAAAAAGCACTGAATTAAGTGCTTTAGAAGAGTGTTTTTCACAATGTGTGCATTTATCTCAATAAACCTTTTATTATACAAAAAAGTAAAAAAAACTATTGTGGATATTCTGGTAAATGCTTCATAATAAAAAAATTATAATAATTTAATAAACAAATTTATACACTCAATATAGTTATCTTATTTTGTAACCATAAAGTAATTATGTTTCCTTAAGTTACAATATGTTCAAAGACCGTCTGGCACAGTCCTGTTACCTCACATAAGATGGTCTCAGGACCTTAGTTTCCTCCGATATGGGAATTCACAAGTAAATCATCATGAAGCCTGACTTTCCATGGGGAAGCAAGGCAAAGGAAAGGCGTAAGAGGGGAAGAGAAGAAGGAAGGAAGGAAACTATATATGAGGGAACTTTTGTAAACATCGTAAAAGCTCACGATTCCATTGTCATAATCCAGAAACACCCCAACTCGGCCCAGAGGACTTTTCACATACTGAGTTAAGGGTGGGGAGTTGGTGGAGAGACTATAACGATCACCCCTCTTAAAAGAAAATAGTAAAAATGATTCTTCAGAATCATGAATGATATCAGTATCGCCTGTCCAGGAATCTTTACAGACTCCCAGAATCCAGTTGGAGGAGTGAGCCAGGTCCACCTCCCAGTAATGCCTACCAGAGGTAAAGGTCTGAGCACCCCATGCTGCAAAACTCTCCACTGTCTGGAGCTCTCTGGATACGCAGTGATGGTCATCTCCAAATATCATACTTCTGACATTTTCAGAAAGACTCATGTAGCAACTGGCTGTTTCCTTACTCAGAGGATTATCCACTGCAGAAAGAGGCAAAAATTAGACCAACAAATGGCATCTCTACGTCCTCAGGGGCAGAGGCTTTCTGCCCAGTTATTCACCTCATTTCCCCCTCCTTCAAGGGGAGTTCAGACTTACTCATCTTTGAAGAGGAAGGGTTAGTAGGACCTCTACAGCACACAGAAATTCTTCAAGTCATAGAGAAAAAGAGAAAATAACAGAAAAGCTGGCCATACCACTGTATGAAGCACTGATTTCATATCCACTTTTAGATAATTTTTCAGTGCATACCTAAAACTATTTTCCCTCTACTTTAGTAGAAAACTCTTGTTGTTTGTCTTTAGTGGCGTTCATCAATAGACATCACTTTGCTGTGATGCAGGCATTTATTAGGATACATGCTGTGCCTGGTACATTCTCAAACATCAAAAAAATTGATAGAAATCAACATGCACAATTTACATGTTTCTGATAAGAATATTCTGGCTTTACATTATNTTCATCAATAGACATCACTTTGCTGTGATGCAGGCATTTATTAGGATACATGCTGTGCCTGGTACATTCTCAAACATCAAAAAAATTGATAGAAATCAACATGCACAATTTACATGTTTCTGATAAGAATATTCTGGCTTTACATTATCTTATTTTTAACTATTAATTATTTTTAACAAATAATTATTAATTATTTACATTATTCAATCTAATCCCTGTCAGCTCTCTGCTGTCCACACCTGCTCTCTAGTATGTGCCTAACATGGCCAGGCTGTGTGCACAGACCCCTTGACTTTCAGTTGTCTTGACATTGATCTGATAGCATTAGAATTGCTCTGCTTATGGCAATTTTAGTAGTTTTTTTGATTGGACAAAGCTTTCTGATTTTATAAACAGAAAATGTTATTTGTACAATGCATGATAAATGCATTTGGAATAGCCAACAAATCAAAAACCACCAATGCCATATTGTAAGTATTTACAACTGGAGGAAAGTATTTAAAACTGGAAGAAAATGAATAAACATACAATATTTCTTGCTACTCTGAGAACTAAGTCTTGTAACTCTTCAAAACCACATGACCTGCGTGAATACTCTTTCTTCTCTTCCTTATCTTGTGTCGGATATAATATGTGTCTTGTTAGGCATTTTCAACAAACTGTAAGTTAAAAGTTCAGTCTTGATTATCCTACTATAACTATGCAGAGAGAGAAAATACAAAAGTTTTGGAAAGTCACTTACTACTTTCATGTCAGAAAAAATAAAATCGAAATGGGGATGGCTCATCACCAGAAACCCACTAAAGAAAGAAATTGAGGCCTCATTGTCAGAGGGCTGACTCTTACCTCTGAAGTTGTTCAGCATGTCTAGGATTCCAGTGATGTGCCATGAATTGAGCTCTGGGTTCATTGGCTGGGGCTTTTGCATCAGCACCAGCTCAGTCCTGTAAAGAATGACACCAGTTATACTTTTGGACTAAAGGCTAATCACATGGTTATTACAAAGATAGCAGTTTTTAATCAAAGACATTTCATCAGAATTCTCTCATTTTCAGTTAGTTGGTATACATTTTATTGTAACACTCTTGAGGATATAAGTAATGTTCATTTATTTTTTCTAAATGTAACATATCAAATTCCAAATTCCCCATTCTTCTCAGACATTATTCAATTTCTAAAATGATTGAGTGCCATTTCCTCCCTCCACCCCTTACTTTATCTCAGGTAATGCAAAGATCTTGTGTTTGCCATAGAGAAGAAAATCCAGACAAAATCTTTGGGACTTCAGTCAGCAGTAGTTACCAATGATGCACTTAGTGTCTAAAAGGGAATGTCCATTGAGCCAGAGGCTTTGATATTTTCTGCCAAGCAAGAGAATCTGCATCCTGTAAGACAGCCCTGATCCTGAGGGTCCTGAGATAGCCATTCCCCTCT